AAACATATCTGCAAATGCAATCCACTTTAGTTAATTTATTGAAAACCAGCAAAAAATAAGAGAAATATGTGAGAATCTAGTAAAACCAGACGATCAAAAACAAACTGAAATTGAGCCAATAATTTTAGAGTACTTCAGTAAGAATAAAAGAAGAGTGTTTATAACGGCAAAGATAAACGCATCGCATTATTTGATGTTTATATCATTTAAGAATGTATTTTCTGATAATATATGTAAAACAAATCTGTTCCTTTCTATTCAGAATGTCTCACCAACCCATGTTCATCTGGGGAGATATGTTACGACCGATCTGGTTCGACCGAATCGACCCATGTCTGCGAGTGCCAAAGTGGCCAAGGATATAACTGCGACCAATCTTGTAAGTTGAACATACATACATTCGATGCCATTTGGATTCGATTCATTTGAGGCTCCTTCCCTTCTCCGTTCATTTTCATATCCACCGTGACGGTCATGAATAAACTTTAAAACGACTAAATAAGTAGAGACGCTGGTTTCTGCTTTCTGATTCAGGAATAGAATAGTACTACGCCTATTTTTATGAATTAAACTTGGTATAACATCAGAATATCATCGGCAGCCTTTATAAGAATGTTAGAATTCGGAAATGTAAACCCATATGCTTCAGTGTCACTTCACATCTATCAAATTGTCTTTTAGCCTTGTTTTGATTACCTCCTACATGACCATGATGACGAAGAGTTACCTACAATCCACTTTGTTTGCAAAACATAATCATAGTAAGCAACTTTATTTCAATTATTATGGGCGTCATCGTGAGATGAGTCATCTTGCATCAATTTTAGTTTGAGTTTATAGTACATCCTATCACCTAATCAGGAGCAGCTGAGCGTCTTTCAAAGAGGGGGGGGGGGGGGACCAATAAAAAGGGATTTCCTCAAAGTCAAACCTTAAAGCGAAAATATAACATTTGTCGACATTGGTAAATTCCCCTATAGCATTGTGATTAAATTATCAGGAATGATTTTGATATTTTCTCTCTTTACATGGTCGAAGATTCTGCTTAAGCATCATACTTTGCAGTTGGGTGTGATGGTCTGAATAATCATTTACGAGCGTGCGAAGCGAGCGAGCAAAAATTTCAAAATTTGTGAGGTCGCAGTGCAAAAATTACATTTTATGTAGAGAAAAAAAACATCAACCCTGAAAGGGTTTTACTTGAAAAGACCTTTAATAACGACATAATCATTTAAACTATAACGTGGAGCGAGCGCAACGAGCGAGCTATGGCGAGAATTAAAGAAAAAGTTGCTCTTAGTCACTTTAAATTAGGAGCAAATTATATGGTGAAAATGAAAAGAGGCACTTATCAATAGGGAAATGACACTTATTTCAAAAGATACGGAGTACGTGTCAAATTTAAAAATATCGGAAATGGGGCATTTTTCGCACCTGAAATGGCACAGTACCCCCACTTTTTCAAGTATTCCTAAAAGTGACCTTTTTTTAAAACTTTGACAAGTGTCCCTATTAATTTGTATAAGTGCCCCTTCCTTTTTCACCTCTAATAGGTGCCACTTTTATTTTGAAACGTGTCCCTTTTCCCTCGACAAATGTGTCGAGTATAATGTGTCAAAGTGTCCAATATCCATTCTCATATAAAGTGCCCCTATTTAGGTACGAGAAGTGCCTCTTTTCACTTTTGATGAGTGTCCCATTCACCGCTGAGAAGTGCCCTATTTAAATCTGAGAGGTGCCCCTTTTACTTTGTGTCCCTTCTCCTTTTAATAACTACCCCTTTTCCATTGACAAGTTCATATTCAACCAAAAAGAGCCCCTTCCCTTCTCATAAGTGCCCATGTTCATCTCTGGTAAATGACCCTTTCGGGTACGAGAAGTTACTGCTTTTAACTTCAGATAAGTGCCCCCTTCAACTCCGATGATTTGCCCTTATTCAGATTTCCATTTGTTATAATTGCCACTTTTCATTCTCATTTGTGCCCCTTTTCAGGTGCGTTAAGTGCCCCTTTTCACCTCTGATAATTTCCCTTTAACAATGATACGTGCCCCTTTCCCTTGCTTATTAGGGACCTATCCCCTTGTCACTTCTAAAAAATCCCTTATCAAGATAAGTTTCCCCTCGCTCGCTCGCATTTATAGATGATATAATTATGTTACTTATCAAAGGTCTTTTCACTTTTCCGTTATGAGAATGTGGTAATAACCCCAACAGGATTGGGTTTTTTCCTTTTCATAAGATGTAAGTTTTCGCACTGCGACCTCACACATCTAATAATTTTTCCTCGCTCGCTTCAATCGCTCGCAAATGAATTTTCCGACCATTACACCCAACTACAAAGTATGATGCTTAAACACTATCTTGTATGATGTATACAGAGAAAAAATATCGAAATCATCCCCGTTAATCTAATCCCAATGTAGGGTTATATACCAATGTCAAAAGAATTGTAAATTTTCGCTTTCAGATTTCCCATTGTATGTGTGCTTCCCCTCCCCCTCACTTTGAAAGTCGCTCCGCCACCCCTGCCTATCAAATTTTAATAGGGGCGTGTATAAGAGGTGAACAGGGGCATATATGAGAAAAGGGGAGTGCTCTTATTAAACAGGAAAAGGGGACAAATACCAAAATGAAAAAGGGCACCTACTTGAAAGAAAAAACAGGCACGTGTCAAAATAAAAGGGGCGCTTATTAGAAGTCGTAAGTGGAACTCATAATAATGTGTTTCGGGCACCTATTTAAAATAAAAAGTGGCACTTACCTGAAGTAAAAGTATCATGCATTTTTCCTATGTGAAAAGGTGCACTTTGGGGGAACTTGAAAAGGTGGGTATAGGGGGGGGGGGTAGAGGGCGCAGTACACTGGGGAGTGTACTATGCCATCTATCCCACCCCCGGGAACACCGCCTCTGCATTTGCAGATCTTTGTAGATCTTAAAGTGACTCGGTAACATTGTTGAAGGTTAATGAAAAAAATGCGTTATTTTTGTATTCCTTCTACTGTATAAACCCTCTATCATCCAACAAATCCTGAAAAAGTTCTCAAACCACAAAGATATTTATGTTTTTTTTAAGGTGTCACTGTGAGACACCCTCTAAACAGTAAATTACCCCTCTCATTTTTTAATTTTCTCGAGTGTTTTTTCATGAAAATAAGACAGGGTTTAAACATCTTTCAACACTTTAATGTCTGGAATAGTATATAGAGCCAATTCATTGCTTTGTGACGATTAAATTCACCCAAAATGTCATTAAATATTGTGATTACATATTTATATAATAGAGATTTAAAGAATCGATCAGATTCGTTTTTCCAATTGTTATCTTTAATAATGGTCTGTTTTCACTCAAGCGTTCAGAATATCTTTAATTGTACATCTAGCATTGAAGTCACTACCTTAGCGCCATGTTCTCTCATCTGAACGAAGTTACCAAGTCCCTTTAATGAGTACTTATCTCGAAATACCAACAAATTATGGCTTAATTATTTCATTATCACCAATTGCAGCTGACGCAACAACAATAACTTGCTATGGCCCCAGTTGCCGCAGCGGAATATTCGAATCGCCGTCATATCCTAACCCCTACGTTGCTCGAGACAGGATCTTGTACCTACTATTCATCCCTGGCGCCACTCGGATCATGTTCACATTCAACGAACCATTCGAAGTTGAAGAATTCAAGGACGAACTGACGGTAGGTCCAGGACTGGTAGTAGACTTCAATCTGGACTTACGTGAAGAAATTATTCCAGAGCGCCAAGTCCATTTCTTCTCAGGGAACATCGTCCCTAAGAATTTTAGTCTTGATGATACGGACTCGGCCTGGTTGTATTTCACGACAGATAAGAGTGTGGAGAATGCTGGTTTTCAAGTGAACTGGACAAGCGCAGGTAAGCACTTCCTGATTGGTAAAATGATTTTCTCTATTGTGAGCAAAGTTTTTTGTGTCCCACAGCTATTGCACAATATTGATAAAAAGGTCATCGTCAAAGATAATTTAACACAGAATTAAAAAGTACTATATGATTTGTTGACGACGATGTCTTCCTTGATACGGACCCTTGAGTAATTCATCATTAAAGGTAATACAAAGTTTTGGGAAATTTAAAAATTGGGTGGATAGTGAATCTTTACAATTTTGATATATTTGGATGCCCCTGTGGATGTACTATAAGCACTAAAAAAATTACCCCCTAAAACACTTCTGTTTTCGAGAAAAATTGAATATAAAAATTCACCGGTGCTCCCGGTAAATTTTGATAAATTTCAAATAGCGCCTACGGCCGTACAATGGTAGCTGCGACCATGAAAATCTCAGAATATGTAGTTGTGATATATAATTTTCAAACAGGAAAAGCTAATCGGTCGATTTTAGTCAAGAAACATTGTTTCATAGCTAAATTGATATCATGACCTTCAGAGGGAGCTATACAACATAAAGAGTTTATTATTTATAATTTCATAACTTTAGACTCGATTTCAATCGGGACAACGATCAATAAATATTGTAGGAACGCATATGCTTCCAATATGTTAATTTGAACTAAATTCATGACCCCATTTCAAAACTTTGTAATACCTTTAACATTCCTCCTGGATGTACGCACCCTACTCTTCAGTAGGGACTTTTAGATTTGCACGTCAACAGCTTTGACTGCAACGTGTGACAACATTATAAGGCACTGCGCATGCGTTACGTCGTCTCAGTCGGCGATCGAGAATGCGTCAACCTTGATTTTCCTAAATCTAGTACAAACATACATACATATTGATATTTATATGGCGCCTTTACATGCTCAAGGTACTAGTATGCCGCGTGCGCATAAAATATACAGTTCCTCAGGTAGACAAAGGAACATCCCTTCCCTGCTATTATGTAAAAATGTGTAGAACAGGTGTCACATGCATATTCACCTGTTCTACACATTTTCACCGTACATTCTACTTCATTTCCCTTCTCTTTTCTAGGATCAAAGCCAGTAGCAGGGGGAAACGATATAATGTTTTCAGTGAATGGCATTTTAGAAAAAGTGAAAAAGAGGGTTAATAATGAGAAGCAGTCTTTTCACATTTAACCAACGGTGTATAAGAACAGTTCCCCTCCAACCCCGCCCCAAATGATGCTGATGCACTCATTGTCTGAACCCGTGCCACGCCACTGTTCATTTTCATGGGCACTTTTTTAAAAAGATCAAGGTAACGTAATTGTGACGTAAAGTTTCTTGCACCTCAATTTGAAATGACTGTAATTCAACCTTCACAATTTATCCAGACCTGTCACCACCAGTAATCGTCTGCCCACAAGACATTACTGTGGGAGCATCGGCGGGTTTGCAAAACGCTTCTGTGACGTGGGTCGAACCGAAGGCTTCGGGACCGGTGTTCGTACAAAGCAAATACGATTCCGGGCACCTATTCGACATTGGACGCCACGCTGTGATCTACACGGCTACTGATGAAGCCGGCAACGAAGGTCAATGCTTCTTCTATGTCACTGTCGAGGGTAAGTCATTTTGTAAATTTTGTGTAACAGTAATGTCGCTTCAATTCTAAAAGGTTTTGATCTCACACATAGATATTAAGAAGCAGGTACAGGGTACCACTGTCAATTAGGTTCATTATTTCCTAGCTGTGTGGCACTCACAGAATTCTTTTCCTAAGAATTTTGTTTAGAGTGCAGTGACTAGAATAATGTTATTCCCATTTTAACCTTTTTCTGATTCGTATGGCGGAAAAAATTATGTAAAAGAGGTGAAGAAGAAAAAAAAGAAGACAGCAGAGAGAGAGAGAGAGAGGGAAAGAAATGACCCTGATTTTAACTTAAATTTTTTAGTACCCTATTTTTTTCATTCAAAACATAACCTTCAGGTGATCCAAACACCAACCTGGCACCTGTTATATCAGGTTGTCCGACGAGTAGAATACCGTCAATGTATAACACCAGTCTGCTGGCAACAGAGTCCCTTCCTGTCTTCTTCGATCCGCCCAACGCCACAAACCCGGCCAACACTAGCGACATAGAGGGGATGTCGTCGCAAACCCCAGGAGACTTGTTCGACCACGGTTTACACCTCGTGGTTTACATGTTCTGGAATAGTGATGGATTCGAAGCCGATTGCGTTATTCCCATCCAAGTTCAAGGTAAACAAAAAATTCCCGTCCCGAACAGAGCGATAATTTAAATCCATTTGGTTTAAACCAATCTGAACGCATTTTATAATATCCTTACAACAAAATAATCAGTAAACCGGACGTTAACCGTAATCACTTCTAATAGTAGCGGAACAACCCATGCCCCACTGCCACCAACATCAATCAGTACACCATTCCAGCTGAAAGATCTCAAATACCCTCTTTTATGTTTTTACGAAGTGGTATCCTCATCAGAGGCGAGAAACTGGCCTAAGAAGGCTCCAGATCCCCTAGTTTTGGCGTGTCTTCGGCAGGCTTCCTCGGGAAATTTTGATTTTGCACCCCCCGGCCCCCTTGATCAATTCTGTATTTGCTGTAAATAGAGACCACTGGGACTTAGGATTAATATCACTTTCCGATTTTCTTACAGAGGTTGACTTTTGTGCATCAGGTCCCTGTGACCCAATACGAGAAATTTGTCACCAAACTCCAACACATTTCTACTGCTTTGTAATTGAAGGTAAGTTAATTATAATTGACCTCGTTATCTAATCCGAAATACGATTGTAATGTAATTACTTTGGGTTTTTTGTTGAAAAGATTGTTATTTAATTTTCCAATATACACGTACATCTACGTTATGCTAATTTAATTGCCCGATTCACCCTTTGCAGCTGACTTCACCAAACCAGAGATTTTTGAATGTCCGGATGACATCCACGTCTTCGTTGCACCGTGGGAGCTCTTTGTGTCAGTGAACTGGACTGCACCGACAGCTACCGATGACTCCGGAAGAGTCATCCTAGAATCGTCTGAGACTTCTGGTGCTCTCTTCTCAACTCGCGGGATACCAGTCCATGTCACCTATGAAGCTAAAGACATGAACAATAAGTCGGCCAGTTGTTCTTTCACCGTAACTGTCACGGGTAAAATCAGAACCGACATTAAATCAGGGGAAATGTCATTTAGGTTAGAACGACAAGTTTCAATGAGCCCGTTTTTAGTATTGTCTGCGCATTGGTATGTAAAATAGAGTTTTGTAAAACATTGTAAAACCCATCGAGACGAATACTGGAAACGTTCTCATAAAAGTTATATTTACTATTCATATTGATCAACGGTACATTCTATGATTTACAGGTGGATGTATTGTTCTCAAGATAGCAAATAATAGTTATTCACGAAGTTCCTCCATTACTTTGGCAGTGAATATGTTCTAAAATGCTCAAATGGGGACATTTCCATGTTTAAAGGTCTTTGGATAACTGGAGTCATTTGTACCGTGTGCTAACTACGATCTGGTCTATTCTAAATATCACATATCATGTTAGTGAAACACTGCGAAATCTGTCGGGTTGGAAACGCAAAGGCAAGAATATTAACCATAGCTACAGTGTTGCGAAACCAATCTACTGCTATTGTATTTTTTTAAAGTATCCATGGCAATTTTTCCATCTTGCTAAAATCATGCATACTGATTTGAATAGTTTTTTTTTTATATTATCGCCCGGATTCTGCCATTTCTATTTCATTGTTTAATTCAGCTGACATCACCGGACCCACTCTATCTTGCCCCTCGGACATCATGATACCACTAATACCCCATTCACAGTGGTTTTGAAATTTGTAGCGGCGTTGTAGCGGAGCGGCGACACCGCCATAACACCGCTACAAATGCATTCACAGTAGAAAAGTTATCCCGCTGCAGCAGCGGGATAAATATCATGTACCCATTCACGCTGCAGCGGGTGATTTTTATTACCTCCGTAACAAACACGTGTATGCATGGCTCATGACCCGCGAGTGACCCCGATATGACCGGAAATACTTGCTTGAAATTGCGCGGTAAACATGTCAAGTTGCTTTTTGTATCCTCGATCATATTACTTTTTAAAAAACTAGCATTTTTATTGCTTCCAGTCAGAATATTTTAATTTTTTGAAGTGTGAAATATTTTTATTTGGATAATTATAATACCTACATAATAATAAAATCAATTTGAATCCACTGGTTACTTTATTTCTATTTCACTTTATGTTCCCCATTGCTGTAGAAAAGAGGTCAGTGATAGGTAAGTAAACAAATCACACGTGTTTGTCGCGGTGTTATAGCGGAGAGCCTTCACACTGAGTAAACACCGCGACAGCAGCGGGACTGTCCCGCTGCTGTAGCTAGGCGTCCCTAGCGATAGTTTGTGTCGGCGTTATCGCTAGGCGGTGTTATCCCGCGATAGTTTATAACGGGTCCGAGCCTTCACACTGAAGACAACACCGCGACAGCAGCGGGACAGTCCCGCTGCTGTCGCGGTGTTTGAGGCCACTGTGAATGGGGTATAAATGGGTCAAGTGCTCGAACCGTCACGTGGTCGGAGGTAACTGCGCATGATCCATCGGGTCCTGTGACAATCATCCAAAACTATCATCCAAATGCGAGTTTCCCATCTGAGTCAACAACGGCTATTGTTTACGTTGCATCCGACAGATACGGAAATATCAACTTTTGTTCGTTTATTGTCACCATCGCCGATAGGTCTTCCCCTCAACCTCGTAAGTAAGAAATGATATGTAAAAATGCAATTAATATGAATTTTGCAAGATACAGCTTGATATGCGATGTTACCAAAACAAAATTATACCCGCTTAAAAAAAAAATGAAAAGACTGCTATGTTCATCATGAAAAAAGCAAGTGGTACCAAGTTTTGTAGGTATTAAGTTCTTGGATGCAAATTTGTTAACCTCTCTTAAGTTCGGCTTCGTATAATATTAGTTGTTTAATAATTATGTCACATAACGACAACCTAATGAAGCGGCATGATTGATTTATTGACTTTTATTCGTCAAGCTTCCACCATACAATATACAAGAATAAGAGATCAAAAGTAAGTCAGCTTGAACAGAATAACCGGCACGAAAGCTCGAGAGCTTATCTCCAGGATGGCCCATAGCAACTTCTATCATTAATCTCCGTCTACTCTTGTTCTCAGTTCTCTCGCCAAGAAAAACCACAACAGTCTCAAAACTTGGCAGAAATTCAACAGTATAAGGAAATCAACAAACATCCTAAGCAAAAGTGAAATTAAGTGTCGTTGAAAGTTTTTTATCGATAGGAAAAATCATATCTATGAAAAACACAAAGCAAAGCTGGTCTGGGCTGGGGGTCTTGTGACCTAACTCTAGAACGGTGAAACTTAAAAAAAGGCCCCGCATCCATGTGCCTCCCTGATTTTACACATCTAAACAACCCATTAACTGCAATCTTCTAAACCCGAATCGTCATGTGTCTTGTTTTTAAGGAATTAAAACTCTTTTCCCTAACTAATAACCTATCTGAGGCCGCCAATCGAATTATGAAACGAAAGAAACACGTGCTTTAAACCTTCTCAAAAATGGCATTTTCATCTTCATCTTCATCGTGTGACACGACAACATAACTTAAAGCCCGGTGACGCCTCGGTGTGTAGATGTTAACAAATTATTAGGATTTTGAAAGGGTTGCTTTAAAAATATCCAGTGAAACTCTCGTGGTAATCTCAAGGGGTAACTTATTCCAATCACTCATGGTTTTTGGAAGAAAGGAGTTTAAGATGTTTTGCAGTTCTTGGTTCGATTACGCTGTAAGCATCAGCTATGTAATTCCGACTTTAATTATTTCTGCCCAACTCTTGCGTTCGAAATCAAAATACACAAAAGAACAATGACGAAGTTCGGTTTTGATAAGGACAAGTTCTGCTCATTTTGCCAAGAGTGTACAGGTATGTGAGTGTGCATGTGTATGTGAGGATGAATGAATGACAAGATTGTAGAGGGTGGTGTTTGGGGATAGTAAGGGAGGTGGTTATAATCAGGTGGGCTGTATCTAATACAGACCACCTTATATTTTTAGGTGGTCTGTCAACGACAGATCACCTATTGTTTTCGTCAGAATTTTCTTTCTTTATTATTATTATTATTATTATTATTTATTTTTATTTATTTTCACACTTTTTTGTTAACAGGATAACTCAAGATCAGTTTAGTCAATTTCGTTCAATTTTGGCACAGTCATAGGTCATTGTCATGAGACGTTAGAGTAACATTTTCAAGGTCATCAATTTTTCATGACGTCATCCAGGCGCCATTTTGTGTTTTTTTTGGTACTTTTTATTCATGATCATATCTTCTTAACGGAAAAACATTTCTCATTCATATTTATCATGATTAAGGTCAATATCCGTCCGGTCAACTTCAGGTCAAAAAACGCGCGCGCACGCGTACGTCCGCGCGTCAGCGCGCGCGCAAAAAAAAAAAATGCTTCAAATCGTTTAAAATTAATTTTGCATACGTTTCGGGCAATTTTAAGCGTTTTGCAAAAAAAGCTCGCACGCGCGTGCGCGTGCGTTTTCGCGCGTACTGGTATTTGCCAACATAAAATCGCAAAATTTTCTCTGTCATCATATTTAGCACATTTTTCCAAGCATTTTGATACCTTGTTCACCTTTTTCTGCCCTTTAATAACGGAATGAGCGTCCGTTTAAGATAATGTCCGTGCGTGCGAGCTCTTGTAATACATAGCATACATGGGCAAAAACATGCCTATACAAAATCCATTGTAGCGCTTTAGGATGGAAGATGAACCAAATTTTGTTTTCATATGTTGATAGAGTATGAATTGGAGATATGATTTCATGTCTCATTTGACCCTCAATTGACTCATGACGTCATCATAATGGCCTCCGAACTCAAAATTTCAATTTTCATATTATGACGTCAGCAGATTTTTGAAAAATTGATTGTATCTCTGTAAATATTGATCAATTTTCTTTCAAATTTTGATATGTTCTACCTGAGAATATTCTCTACAAATGCAGTCTTCACAAGATTTCATTTTGACAAAGGTATCATGGCGTTTTTTTGCGATTAAAGGAGGCATGTCAATTTTTCACATTTTGCGTGTATTCTCTATGGGACATGACTTTTTCTCAAAACTTGATTCTACATTCTCGTCTTTCGCGAGCAATATCTCCGTCGTTTTATCTTTGTTTACGCTGAGCTTTGAGTATGTTGTAGCTGAGAAAATAAGCTATCGTAAGTGTGTCCTTTATTTTTCGATCAGATGCCGAGATCATGCTCATATTTCACTTACAAAGGGGGATTTGATAATTCCATTTTCCGTTTACGTGTAATCTCTATGGGAAATGTTTTGGTATATCGGTAACGCACTTGACTTCCGACCTCAAGGTCCCTGGTTCGAGTCCGGGCGTCTCCAACAATTTTTTTTCTTCACTTTTTTTTCTTTTTGACCTTTCACTGTACCATCTCCTTTGAATATTAAAACACGTACAATCGCAAATAATGTAATAAACAACCATATTTACTTTATTATTACCCTATTATCACTAGATCCATTACTTTTGGCGTGTAATCCTTATGGGAGATGACTTTTTCTCAAATCTGGATTCTACATTCTTGTCTTTTGCGAGCAATATCGCCGTTATTTCGGCTTGGTTTTTGTTGATTTTTGAGTATGTTGTAGCTGAGACTATACGCTATCTAAATGTTCTCTAATTTTGTTCAGTCTGATGTCATCGTGGTCTGTTGATGATAATCATCAACATCATCATCATCATCATCATCGTCATCACCATTACTATCAAGATCATCATCATCATGATCATGATGATCATCATTGTTTACATGTATATATAACTTCTCCCTTTCTCAATATAGTAAATATTATAATCTTCATAAGACTTGAAGACAGACCACCTAATTCGTCTCCATGACGAATTAAATTTCTTTTTAGGTGATACGTACGTAGACGTATCACCTTTTGATTTCGTCAAGATTTTCTTTATTATTTTTATTATTCTGCCATGAATTTGTTCGCAGAATATCTCAAGAATGAAAAAAGCCATAATCATGAATCTTTCAATGATGATAGATCTTAGTCTAACTTAGAACTGCGTGACTTTTCAAAGACTCAAAGTCATCGTGACGTCATCCAGGCGCCATTTTGTGAAAATCAACTCATGATCATATCTTCATAACAGAAAGCCATTTCTCATTCATATTTATCACGATCAAGGTCAATATCTGTCCCGTCAATTTCAGGTCAATAAATGCGTTCAAAAATGCGCGTACGCGTACGTGCGCGCGTTAATGCGCGCGTAAAATTTTATATTGCTCAAAATCGTCCTAATTTTTTTTTTGCATACGTTTCAGGCCATTATAAGCATTCATAAAAAATCGCGCAAAACACGCATTTTTGCGCGTTTTCGTTCGTCACGGCCGAACGAAAAATAATTCCTCCGCAAAAACTTTTGACAGGATATTCCTCATAATTTTCCGAACAATTTGATACAAAGTTTATCTCTTTATCACTATTAATAACGGAATGAGCGTCCGTTCAAGATAACCGTCCGCACGCGCGATTTTTGTAATACATAGCATATACGGGCAAAAACATGCCTATAAAAAGTCCATTGGGATGAATAAGGATTGCCAATTTTTTTTCATATTTAGATAGAGTATGAGTCGAAGGTATGATTTCATATCTCATTTGGCCATTAAGTACATCTTGACGTCATCATAATGGCCTTGGAAGTCAAAAATACAAAAATGCATATTATGACGTCATTATGTTTATGGAAAATTTAGTGTATTTCTCTTAATATTCATCGATTCTCTTCTAGATTTTAATATGTTGTAGTCGAGGCAATCGTCTTTGAGATCAGTCTACACCAATTTTCATTTAAATGATGTCATCATAGCACAAAATTCAATTAAAGGCCACATGTCAGAATTTTCGTCATTTGCGTGTTATGTCTATGGAAGGTAAATTTTGTTCACATCTTGAATCTTCATGACATTGATCTTTGAGCACTATCTAGCTTACGAGTACTCTATGTTCTCCCAAATTTTGATACGGTGTAGCTAATAAATTATCTTCAATATTGACGTACATCATTTATCATTTTGATGACATCATCTTAGTGAAAATTTCAATTAAAGGCGACATGTCAGAATTTTCTTAGTTAGCGTGTTAGGCGACTTTTTCTGAAATCCTGATTCTACAAATCTCTATCGAATACCTGAAGTGGGCGCTATACCACTCTTAATCATGGTCTTTATCGTATTTATGATCATTATCATTAGATCATCATCGGCACAATTTCATGATAACAAAATAGCACGTATCACCTAATTCGTCAAAGTGACGAATTAAAGTCTAGTTTTTTTTTATTTTTATTATTATTCTTCCTCGAATTTGTTCGCAGGATATCTCAAGACTGAATAAAGCCATTGTCATGAATCTTTCAATGATGATAGATCTTAGTCTAACTTAGAACTGCGTGATTTTTCAAAGACTCAAAGTTATCGTGACGTCATCCAGGCGCCATTTTGTGAAAATCAACTAATGATCATATCTTCATAACGGATAGTAATTTTTCATTCATATTTTACATGAATAAGATCAATATCCGTCTGGTCAATTTCAGGTCAAAAAATGCGCGCAAAAATGTGCGTACGCTTTTGTGCGCGCGTTTACGCGCACGAATTTTTTTAA